TTGCAAAAAGCCATTTGCAGCATTCGAGCGTATGTTGCGAAACTTAATGTTGTTGTTGAGTTAAGAACTTTTGCAGCGTTTAAAAAACGTTGCAAAAGCCGATTTATTGCAACATTCGCCGAACACTATTGCAACATTTGGCAAACGTTGTAATAGATAGGCTTTTGCAACGTTTGGCAAACGTTACAATAGATAGGCTTTTGCAACATTTGTTAAACGTTGCAATAGCCTGTCTATTGTAACAAACGGTTGCAATAACCTGTCTTAAACGTTGCAATAGCACTATCGCAACGTTTAACAAACGTTGCAATAGCCTCTCTATTGCAACATTTAATATACAGGCTATTGCAACGTTGGAAAGATGTTGCAATAGCCTATCTATTACAACATCTTGACGAATGTTGCAATAGACAGAAGCCTATCTATTGCAACATCTTGCTGAACGTTGCAATAGCTTGCAACGTTTATTAAATGTTGCAATAGATAATTCACATTTTTTTTATCTATACTTAAAACATTACTAAAAATCCTGTTCTTTGATCAAATAAGTCATTCAAAACTAACAAACATGTACTCATTGAATTTGTAAAATATTTAACACATAATCTTTTCCAAAATAAAATTAAGAGTCTCCAAACATATACTATCAAAATGTAATTAGGAAACTACAAAAATCGAAACTTAAACTTGAAACCGTCGCATGGTACTTGATCAATACTAAAAATCCTGCATCAATCTCACTTGAAAATGAAACTTGTTGTTGGAGAAATATCAGCCTATAATCAACGAGTCCCGTAGATGTGTTTTTAGCCAACAACCACTGAATAACAAATAAACATTCAAATAGCAAAACTTCTCCTTTTCATTGAGACATACTTAAATGTGACAAATCAAGACAATCATAAAGGCATTTCAGGCTTAGCACAAAATCATGTTGCCCACACATTAACAAATTACCCATTACAAGAATTATAGCCTCAACATGAAATCATGTTTCGTCCTTTCAATAACAAAAAAACTTATTGAATGAAACCTAAGAATTAAGCCAAATGACTTGTTAATCCTCATTGCCAAAATCTCACCAGCTAACCAACCAATTACATAAAACCACTTCATATGTACCAACCAACACTAAATACTGTTTGGGATGAAAAGAAAATTGAAATAGGACGCGTATATGTTATAAATCAAGAAAATATACCTTAATCAATAAGTCTAATACAGCTATTTGGCCAAGCAACAATACTTTCTATGGCTTCATTAAGGGTGCGGAATTCATCTGTGAGTCTGTATAGAGTCAAATTACCCATATAGACTTCCTCGACCCAAACCTTTCAACAGTCTCGACCGAGTGGCAAGTGTTCTTGGGTCTGTTGTGGCAATCTTTCCTTCTGCTATGGCTTCTTCCTCCTCAAACATGTACCAATGTAACAGTTGACATCTTGCATTTGTCTTTAGGGTAGTACTTCCTTGGACACCGCTTCCTAGGTGTGACTACAAATTCATAATAAATAAAAAGTATTCTTTTTAAAATTAGAATGCTATAAATTGAATATATATTAAATAAATATTTAATAATATAGGAAACGGAAACCTGAGTAAAAGCATTTGAATTCCTATCCTCCACATTTTGTATAATCATACAAAAATTACAAAAGTTATTATACATGTAATTGACTATATAAAGCTATATAATCATGAAATATATAAAAAGTAACTACTTATAACCTGCTGAGAAAACATGATAAATGCTTCCATTTTTTCTTCTAATACCCTACCCTTTGTGCTTGAATCTGTAATTGGCTTTCAAATTCTCTAACTCTCCTACTACTTTGTATTTATCCATCTACCTTTGATGGTACAACTCCAAATCCGAGTCTCCTAACTCTCCCATGACGTTTAGGACCTAAAACTCGAGCGATAGCATAATCATGGATGGAATCTTCGACAAGCGTATCGAAAATTGATGTGGCACAATTTTCAATCCTTTTCTGCACTTATGAAACTCAAATCAAATACTATCAAGTGATACAACTAATAAATCAAATTATACTTAAATTGAACATTGGTATAATACACATACCAAAGTTTCAACAACTGCTTCATTAATTGATTTTCCATCTTTTCTAAGATGTCCATATTTTCATACTTCTGTTCTTAACATTTTTAAATGTGGATTCTTTTTTTTATCTGCAGTACAAATGTAGTAATCACATATATTGAAATTGGACGATTCAAGTAAGAAGACATGATATGCTCTTAAGAAGTACCATTTCATAAGCCACACGTGGATGACCCTTTATACCCATAGTATGGAGAAGCTTCTGATTAGTTCGCATGTTGCTGAACCTAGGACTTTTCTCCTATTGACAAAAGAACGAAGTATAAAACAATAATAATTAAAATAAGGGTTAAACTTTACATGCAAACATACTTACATGAAAATCAGCAGAAAGAGTATCCTCAACAAATTTAACCCAGACTTCTTCAGAGTTGACATTCTTCGGTATAAGAAGGGTAATAGTGCGTGCTCTATTCACCGATGATTCAACTTGAGTTCTAATTTATTTTCTCAATCTTGATTTGAATGTCCTCTAGTACTTTTTCATACATTGAAATGTCATTCTTTGATGACAATCACCGACATTGAACATTTACTGTATTTGTGCATAGGCATGAATTTAAGATTTAAGAAAATGGTATCATTAAGAAAAATAAATACAACATAATAATCTTAAAAGGTAGTTACGAAATGTTACATGTATAAAAGTCCAAAGCTCCATTTTAGTCTCTTCATTCACTAAAGTCCAATATTTAATTACAACAGACACATGTTCTTGTACCATAGCCCCAGCTACACCAAAAAAAATTTCCAAGTTCTGCCCAACAACTTGGCCATATTCATTGAATTCTAGATATCTTTTGATAATTATGTTCAGGAATCATCTTCACTTGTGTTGGACCTCTTTTCTTTTTCGGAGTATTTGCAGTTGTTGGCAACATGGTTTGCTCATCATTAATTGGACTAGTTACAGTATTATCTTGTTCACTAGAATTGTTTAGTCTCTTACTGGTCTCTCGAATTTCATTAGCAATTGCAACTCTTCTTTTAGAACTCTTCGAAGTTTGTTTAGTTGGCTTTGAGAATACAACATGGAAACATAAGTTAAACGCAATTATTTTCAAAACTAAGCATATATCTTACGTATTATAAGAAAACACAATTACTCGAGCCTTATCCATACAACAAAATGTATTTCGGATTGAAACGATTCTCTAGAGCTAGAATAAAAACCTACAACATAAAAAAATGGATGTTATTCAACACTTCATCGCAATATGAATGGATAGATAAATCACATGTCAAAATATTCTAGAAAAATAGATCATTATGTTAAAAGTATGTTGTCTACAAAAAAAGGGAGTTGTCAAACTACTTTACGTATCACACAATACGCCTTCAACATCTATCCTTGCATAATTGCATCTTCATCATGGTTGTCTGTAATTGGTTGTGATATATCTAGTGGAATAGTTACCTCATAATTAGTATCTTCTTCCAAATGAAATGCATCAAAGTCTCTTTGTGGCGCTTGCAAAGTCACATACCAACTGGATGTTTCATTTTTCCTAAAATAAAATACTTGTTTCGCCTGTGTTACCAAAATGAACATATCATTTTCAAATTATTTGTGTCCCTCGTTAAGGTTAACCAAAGTGAATCCATCTTCTTCTTTTTTTATTCCGTTCACAATATTTACCCAATTACACTTGAATATTGGAACATGAACCGTATTATAGTCAAGCACTATAACATCATGCAAAACTCCATGATAAATAATTTGCCCAACTATTTGTGCATCATCTTGTGCATTAGATCTACATATGGTCGTTGCTTCAACTAAAACGCTACTATTTTGGCGAGATTTTTCTGCATCTTTAGTGTGAAATCGAAGACCATTTATAACAAAACTATAATATAACATGGATTGATATCTAAGACCACGTGCAAACCACTTCCAATTGTTGGAAACTTTGTCCGTCAATAGCTGAATTTAAATCTTTTATTATGTTAAAAATGTTAGAAATAAAAGAACAAATAGCACAACTTTGAGACATTTATTTGTTAATGTGTATTCCAACCTTATCATCCAACTAGGTAGCAAAAGCATCAGTGTGCTTCTTATTCAATAAAGTCTCATTTCTTTCCAGTCGTTTGTCAAAACTCTTCAATTCATCCATATGCATCCTAAGGTGAATACAATATATCAAAAAATATAGTTAACTACTTAAAATTATTGAACTCGATATTTAATAAACGTACTCTATGTATGGTTGAACTTCTGTGCTATTCAGTAACACGTAGCGATGAGCATTTTTCAACATCTCATTGGATAGTATAATTGTCTTCTCTTTAGAAATTGTACGCTCCACAACTAGGAAATTAGTCTCGTATTCTTCATTACATACAGGCTTAGAACCTATTTTAGATGCTTATGTTACATATTTGCTACAAAACTTCGCATTTTTTTCAACAATATATTGTTCAGCTATGCACTCTTCAGACCTTGTACGATTCATAACATACCCATTCAACACTTTCATATATCTCTCAAATGAGTACATTCAACGATATTGTACTAGTCCACATAGACAAACTTCTCTCTCAATATGGATTGTTAAATGAACCATTATATCAAAAAAGGAAGGCGGGAAGTACCTTTCCAACATGCATAAAGTTTTAGAAATGTCCTCCTCTGATTGTTCAACCTTATTTCTATCTACAATTCCTTGAAAAATGAACTCAATTTAAAAATGGAATTCCTTGGTCCTTTAGGTAGAAGCCCTCTCAACGCAACTGATAATAATTGTTGCATTAACTTATGACAATCATGAGACTTCAACCCAGCTATCTTACATTCTTCCATCGATAAGCAATTTCCAATATTAGATCCATAACCATCGGGTAATCTCAAGATAGCAAGCTTTTTGCAAAAAAATTATTTTTCTGCTTTTGATAAGGTGTGAAGAGCAGTTGGTAGATAAAATTTATTTCCTCCACTCTGAGGATATAAATCATGCCTAATATTCATTTTTTCCATGTCCTTACGAGAGTTAATGTCATCTTTAGATTTTCCTTTGACATCCAAAAGTGTACTAATGATGCTTTCACAAATATTCTTCTCCACATATATCACATCCAAATTATGACGTACAAGTAAAGTATGCAAATCAAATTCCAATGGATTCATAAACACTACACACAATTATAAGTATTGAATAAAAATGAAAGAAATATCACAATAATTACCTTTCAATATAGTAGATTGAAAAATATTGACCTCTTCTTCCATTTTACATTAGATTGAGCTGTATTCTTCTTCCTCTTCCGCTTCCCACTTTTTCCCCAGTCATTTGTAATTTTATCAACTTCTATAAAATCTTCTTCATCATTTCTTATCTGTGGCCTAATACCATGTTCAATATGTTCATTAAACCATCTTCTTTTCATATGAAATGAATGATCAAACGCGAGAAATTTTCTATGTCCTATGTACGCAAACTTCCTATCATGTTTCAACCATAGTGAACATGTACTCTCACGACAAATAGGATATGCAATTTTTCCTTTGACGGGCCATCTAGATATATTTCCAAATGCAAGAAAATCATGTATTATCAACATCAAAAGAGCTTTTAAGTTAAATGTAGACTTTGTAATAGCATCATACATGTCAACCCCATCATTCCATAACAACATTAAGTCGTCTACAAGTGGTGCCAAATAAACATTTATATCATTACCTAGCTGTTTTGATCCCAGGATCAATAAACTCAACATCAAACTTTCCTTTGACATGAAAATTGAGGGAGACAAGTTATATAAAGTTAATATTACTGACCAACAACTATATTTAGAGCAAGATCTTTGAAAGGATTAAATCCATTAGTAGCAAGACCTAATCTAATATTCCGAGGATCGGATGCAAAATGTGGCGACCTTCGATTAATCATTTCCCAACTCAATGAATCAACTGGGTGCTTAATCTTACCATCTGAACTTTTATTATTTGAGTACCATGGAAGTTGTGTTGACATCTCATATATTCCAAACATCCTCTTCAGTCTTGGTATTATAGGAAAATAATGCAAGACTTTGGCTGGGATGTTTTTCTGAATTTTTTTTGTCTGTTTGTTAATTTTCCATCTCGAGCAACCACATTTTGGACATAATTCAACATGCTCAAACTCCTTTCTATATAGACAACAATCATTTAGGCAAACATGTATTTTTTTGTAGCCAAGATCAAATATATTGACAAGTTTTTTCATTTCGTAAAATGAGTCTGGAAGTGTATTATTCTCTGGCAACATGTCTCGAACAAGATTTATAAGTTCAACAAAACCATTATCCGATAACCCATGTGAAGCTTTATGTTTAAATATTGTAACCGAAGCTAACATCTTTGTAAATGCCCTGCAACTAGGATATAAAGGAGTTTCAGCATCATCAACTAAATTTTCAATCTCTTTATCTCTTCCATCGGGACGGTTTTTAGGATCTACATCATGTTGTGTATAGAAATCCTTAAACATCCTACTTGACTCAGGCCTTTCTACAACATTTTGATTTGATGCACGTGGTTGCTCTCCATGAAATACCCAAGTAGTATATGTAGGATCCATACATTTAATAACCAAATGTTCATAGACTGTATCATAATGATGATACATTAGATTCCTACACTTAACACAAAGACATACTATCATTTCTGAATTGCATTTTTTATGAGCTCGTTCAATAAAATTCTGTGCTCCATCGCTATATGGTCTTAAAAATTTACGAGTAAATCTTTATGATCATTATACATTGAAATCATTTTCATTTGGTAACTAAGTTCATAAGATCTAATTTCAGATGATAACATTGATAAGTGCAGCCACTCTTTGTTTATTATACGCAAAGCTATTATCCAACACCGAACATCGCAATATTCAAAAAATAGACATACAGGATTAAGTTCCAACTAACAAATATCAATAGGACAAAAGTGAAATAGTAGAAAGAAGAAAATTGACACAATATATCTTAGGTATAAAAGCAATTCTCCTTTGGCAAAGAAGAAGTATGCCTTTGCATGTACACCTTGCCAACTAAATCAATCAATGATATAATTTATTAAGCCGACAAGGCAACAAAAATAATTTATAAGGCCAACAAGGCAATAACAACAATCCAAAAAAAGGCCCATAAGTTATGATTCTCATTCCTCTCCAATGGATTGAGCTCCCTTTTTGTATTGATAGCCCATTCATCAATTGTTCCTAGTACGACAACGTTAATAAGCTTACTGAATAGAGAACCTAAAAGCCAAGAGTCGAGGTAAAAGCATCCAAACTTCTAGGGGCACAAAAAGAATTCTACATACATCAATCTTGGCTTCTTCGTTAAAGTCGACACTACATAGGGGAAAAATGATTAACAAACTTCTAAAAATTGCTGTCCATCTTCATCAATCTTAAGGACACACAAAGAATTCTACATACAATTCAAGAAATCTATGTCAACAGCCTTGCAAGTACCCTCAGCATATTAGCTTTTTGGGAATTTAATAATTTTATACAGAAAATTCTACATACGATTCAAGAAAAATACCACAAATCTTGGTGGGTGCTTCAAGTTCAAGAAAATTGGGCTGACTAACAAAAATTTCACGAGAAGCAACACAAAGTTGCTTGAAAACAGCTGGGGATTAAGAGACGAAAAAAGCATGAAATTAAGAGAGGACTTACTAGCAACCCTTGACCGTGGAAAATTGGTGACCGACGTCGACGATTTGGTAAGAAAATGAGAGAGGCGAAGCTGTGGGACTGTGGACGTGAGAGAGAGAGAGAGATGGGAGATAGGTTAGGCGCTGTGGAGATGGAAGATTGTGTTTGGAAGTCTCGTGAGTGGCTGTCGGGACTTGGGGTGAAATTTGAGGGTTTTTCTTCATTTCGTAATGTTCAATAACGTTGCAAAAAGTTTCATTTTTCACAACGTTCAATAAACGTTTCAAAAGGGGAAGTTTTTGCAATGGCCAACAAACGTTGCAAGAGACGAGTTTCAACAACGTTTGACAACGTTGCTATAAAATTAACTTTTTGCAACGTTTAATGAACGTTGCAAAAACTAAAACTTTTCGCAACGTTCAATAAATATTGCAAAAGGGGAAGTTTTTGCAACGGCCAACAAACGCTGCAAAAGACGAGTTTCAGCAAAGTTCATCAAACGTTGCTATAAAATTAGATTTTCATAACGTTTAATAAACGTTGCAAAAACTAAAAATTTTCCCAACGTTTAATAAACGTTGCGTAAGGCGGGATTAGAAACATCTACATACAAAATGTTGCCGAAGCTCAATTATGTTAATTAATGGCAACATTTGTTTATTAAAATTTGTCGTAAGCCCCTTTAGCAAAATTCAACTACCGAATGTTGTCTTTTATGTATTGCAAATGATGATTTTTGGTGTAGTGAAAGTTATGTTTAAGTCTTATTTTCAAAGCTTACGAATGTTTATGCTTTTGTGACATTTATCCATGATTTCATCGTTTGCATGCAAAGTCTTAGTGCACTAACTTCCATGTTGAATTTGTCAGAGAATTTGAGCTATAGATTCTGTCCACAAACTAAGCCATCCGAAGCCTTTTATTCGAGGCAGTATGAGGCCCACGGTCGAGTTTCTTGTCAAATGTTAGGGCTCTACATATTCCTTTCCCTAGGGTAGCCTTGACGGCCGTTGCATTCTATTGGTCTAAGAAGGATCAGCAATCTAAGAATAAATATCTTTTATAATATATGGGCACGTGATGGGACCCTTTTCATGGATGATGTGGCATCCAAGCGGAGCATGGTTTTTTTAGTACGTAACATTAGTTCCTAAGTTGAGTTTCATATTTATATGCATAGAAGATTTTTTTTTTAATGTTTATTCCACTCTAATATTTAAATTTTTAAAGTGAAATTTTAACCATTACACAACTTTTCTTACTCCTCTAAGTATTGTACTAAACAAGATTTGAAAAATAGTAGATAAACATGTATTGATTCCAATATATTTATATTGGAAGGAATATGAAGCTTGAAAATTTGTCTCGGTGTGTTTTTCAAGGCATTTATGCCAAAGAGAATTGAAAGTTTGTATAATTGGCTCCATCCATTGCTTCTCTTTTTAACCTATTTATATCGAAGGAAATCAAATGTTGAGACAATTAATCGAATTTCTCAATGAATGTAAGAAGCTCAAGGAAGTTTGTGACCTGATGACGACCGAAGTCCTGATGAACAGGGACCGTAACTTTAACGGTCATAAGGTAGTGAAATTCCTTGTCGGGTAAGTTTCGACCCACACGAAAGGCGTAATGATCTAGGCACTGCCTTGGAGAGAGGCTCATTGAAATAGACATGTATGTGAAAATGCGACTAATTGCACTTGAATAGAAAGTATGAAGTTTCACTGTTCCATGGGTTAGCAAAATAGACCCGTAACTTTAGGAGAAGGGATGCTTACTCACAAAGGGGGTCGTAGTGATCGGACCCAAGCTATGGACGATGATTTTCAAATCTCGCAGAACAGAGTTTGATACGATGAGATAGTAACAAAGACTCATTACTCACCCGTCTGCCACTGGAAATACCATTTCTCGTTCGACTTGCATGTGTTAAGCATGCTGCCAATGTTTATCCTAAGCCAAGATCGAACTGTCCATAAGATTCATAGTTGCATTGTTTATAGCTTCCTTGTCTGTAGACAAAGAGGATTCAGAATTGTCTTTAGTTTATGTTCAATGAATCGGTTGATAGGAATCGTGAGATGGATAAATGTTACAAATGATTAATCAATTTCGTTATATATGTACTTGTCACTTTATCTTTGTTCGTGTCATATATAATGATAGATGAATCAAAAGATTTCAATTGAACTTATTCTTTCAATTGATATTTTTGCAAATCTAGGGATAATTTTTTTCGTTATCTTTTTTTGAGAACCACCTAAAGGTCCAACTAAAAAGATTAAATGATTTTGCAATGAAGAATCTAATAGAACAAATACAGTTAGAAATCACATAGAAAGAATTACAAAAGAGAAAAAAAAAAAAAGTAACCTCAGAAATAAATATTAGCCTTAACAAAATAAGTTATAATGCTAAAAGATTAGAAAAATGGCAAATATTAAAAAGAAGAAATGCTCGATTAATCTCTATATTACCTTTTGTTTTATAAATTTTTCATTGAAAGAATCTACACAAATATATTTTTATCTATTATTAATATTCTCAGAATGAAGAGAAAATTATTTCTTGAATCAACAAAAAAAATATATGAATAAATTCATTTACAATAATGAAACAAGTCAATAAATAATTAATAAAAAAATCAATATCCAATTGAGTTTATTTTGACTATAAAAAAAATCACTTTATAATATTAGTAACATTAAGATATATTCACATATTTTTTATGACTTAACGTACTTATCACAAGCATATGTATTTGACAAATTATCACAAACCCAAGTTATTAACTTGTATAAATTAACTTACTTGTTAAGTATGCCGCCAACGTTCACCCTAAGCAAGGATTGAACTCTCCATGAGATTAATAGTTGCATTGCTTATAGCTTCCTTGTTTGTAGACAAAGAGGATTCGAAATTGTCTTTAGTTTATGCTCAATGAATCGGATGATAGGAATTGTGAGATGGATAAATTTTACAAATGATAAATCAATTTCATTTTATATGTGCTTGTCACTTGATCTTTGTTCATGCCATATATAATGATAGAAGAACCAAAAAAATTCAATTGAACATATTCTTTCAATTGATATTTTTGCGACTTCAGGGATAATTTTTTTTGCTAACATCATACTATGGTTTATCAAAGTTTTCTAGTGAAAAATTAATAGACGGGCTTTTTTGAACCTAAACAACATATTTTTGCATAAAATTACATCATCGAAATGGCTAAAAGTAGAAGGAAATATTTGATGAAAGAGGAGTCACTTAGCTAAGGCTCAGGGATGGCTAGTGATCGCAAGCAACAAACAGTTTGAGGTTGGGAATGTGGGACGCCTATTCTTGGCGAGAATTAAAATGGCATCGGAGAAAAGAGAAATATACATCATTTTTTTTATATATAAAATTGAGTTAGGGTTATAACTATAAAATTATTTTGGTATCATAATGAAAAGTATATTTTAATTAGGATATGCATAAAATGTTGTGTAAGAATAATATCTGTAGCGGTAATACAATCCTTTTTAGTTTTTATTGGATTAATGCTATATTTGTAAATTTGTTGTGGTGTATTTATTGAAAATATTTTTCAGTTATGGTGTGATTATAATGTGGTGTAATAAGTAAAATTTGTAGTGGCAATATAATTACTCTTTGTTTTTATATAAGTGCTGGTTCACCTACTTATGTCTTGTTAATTATACTCATTTAAATTAGATATTGTAAAGTTGTTTTAAGTTTTGGCTATTTTCCGATTTCACGTGTGAATTAAAGAATTGTGATCTCGAATGACTTTTATTATCATAAACCATCATAAGTGTTAAGAAACAAAGATTGAGGGTAAAAGTACCAATAGTATAAAAGTTAGGATGGAGATTGAAATCAAGCAAAAAGTAAAAGATATAATAAGAGAAGAAAAATAGGAATAGAAAGGGGAAAAAAAGGGAGAATTGGTT